TCCATGGATGTGCTTTTACCTCTGTAGCTAACAGAGATTCTAGGAATGGTCAATCCCGCAACGTATCCTTTGGTACTAGGATATTCAATCCAATCTATCTCGTCGATTTTGTGATTGAATCACAAGGTAAAGATAAGAATGAGGATTTTATAACAGACTCTATACATATAAAATGTATTAGTAATTCGTGTAAGTGTACTCATGTAAATGTATCTATGTAAACATATCTATATAAGAGTATAGTAATGTATTGTAATGTTCTAGCTGTAATGTATATGCTCTCTATCTAGCAAGTATAGTAATGTACTGTAATGTTCTAGCTGTAATGTATGTGCTCTCTATCTAGCAAGTATTGACTCATGAATGAACTGACTCATTGTATGATATCGCGTTCTAGTAGTAGTTCTAGTATCTTCCTAAACTACCCCTATGATAATTTACTAGTAATCTAACTGGTACGTATGTACATGGATCTATACCCTCGCTACCCAAGGGCATTAGATGAACTGGAAGGACTTTTATGACTATATATGTACACATGATATATAACTAATATTTAAACGACCTTCGGATGGATACCCGATTTCCCACCGGACCACATCTCAAGCGCGAAAAGGAAATAGGGTGGATAGCCTTCCTAAGTCTTTTGAACATTCCTTATATAAATATACATATATAGGCATGCAATTTATAATATAAAAGCATAAAGTAAGTTTTGTAAAATCTTTGAACATAATTATTATCTAAGAAAAGATCGACGTGATGTCAATCTATAAAACGTTTGGAAGGCATGGGTTTGATAAAACAGTTTCGTATAAAGAAACATTTTTTTGAAACACAATTGTAAATAAGTTTGAATTGTAACATACAGAGTAAAATGTACAGTGTAATAAGGAGTTTTAAACACATAAAGTGTTTACGAAAAACATTTGAAGGAAACGGTTTGGTAAAACGACTAATGATTTGTAAATCATTTGAATGTTGCTTATTAATCACATGTGATTGATATAATAAGTAGCATGACTCTACTTGTATTCCCCCCTCCCCCCATAAAGTATTTAAAAACATTTAAAACATTGATTAAGGGGTATGAACTCACCTGTAGGAAGTGGATCGGAAGGAATTGTCGGATAAGTCCTTGGTGACAAGTGAAGACTTAGACATGCACAAATGTCCTAATAACATATAAGGATATATGTATATAAACAATTAGTCTTTAAACAACTAATAAACAAATTCAAGACACTCTAAGGCATGACAAACACTTTGTATAAGTGTTATAAGTGCTAAGGAGTGCATCTAAGTGTTGTAGGGAAAGGCTAGTGTGTTTGGGGTTCAAGGGTAAACTCCCTTGGAGTTTACGGTTTTCATGACCATTACCCAAGGAGTTTACAGCAGTAAACTCAAGGGTTTACGGTCTAAACTCCATTTCTTGCAACCATGAGTTGTTTGGAGGTTTAACAAGTCCTTTGAAGCAATGTTGCTAAGTGGTTTAGCCTTTGGAATGAACTAGGGCCACAAAACACCCTCCTTGAGGTGTTTATGGCCTAAGGGTATTTTCCCTTGGGTTTACTACCGTAAACCCTTATGGGAAAGGATATTGCCTTTATTTCAAGTCCTTATCACAACTAGGTAAATGTCTAAGTTAGCTTTTAGGGCTAAGAAAGGAATATGACTCATTTAAACACCTTTTTGGGTGTTTACGGTTTTGGGATATCCTTAGACCGTAAACACCTATAAATGGTGATGTTTGGTGTTTTTCAAAGCTTAAACATATCAATGGAAGGTTTAAATATGTTAAGGTAAGTCTTAAACTTCAAACTAGGGCTAAACATGGGACTTAAGTCAAATTTTGGGGGACTTTATGGTGTTTACGGCCCAAGCATCATCTTGGACCGTGAACACCTCAAACATGGTGTTCTTGACCGATTTTCTTGGTGATTAATTGATATACTAGCTTACAAGCACTCAAGGATGGAAGTACTTACTATAATGATGCTTGATTTGAGCTAAAAGGCCAAGAACACTTAGTGTGTGTTCTTGGTGTTTTGGAAAATCTAAACAAAAACCGGAAATGAATGGATGAATAGATGCACAAACACTAGATTAAGTGTTTTACTAACTTGAAATGGTTAGAACACTTACAAGGTTGAAGATTTGGAATTGAATCTTGGATGATACTTGAGAGAGTTTTTGGAGTTTACTCTTTAGAATATTGGGGAGTAAACACAAATGTAAGTCCCCAAAATTGCTTGTGTATCAATCAGATCCAATTGATGGTGCGGAATTCCAATCAATTGGATGATGTCAGATCAAATAGAAGAGAAGGAGAAGAAGAATTAAGATGAATCTATGATGTATTAATGAAATGAATTATGCTCCTTACAATAGATTCTCTCACACACACACACTTCTTCTCTCTAGCTTTCTCTCTCTACAAGATGCTCTCTTCTACCTTCTGACTGTACACTCTCACATGCACACTCTATTTATATGGACCTCCAGTCATACACATGTGTACAGCCGCACACCCTGTACCGCAAACACATACAACATTACATAAAAATATATTATTTTTTTAATTTTTTTAAAATTTTCTAATTTTTGTTTTGTTTTTATTTTTATTTTATTTTAATTTTTTTTAAGATGAATCTATTTGGTTGTTATGTGTTCATATAGAACTATAAAAAAGGAGTGAGTAAACGTGAGATCATTATTTGACTTTGTATATGATTTTACACTATTATAGAGGATAAATTTAAGGGTTTTGTTTTCTCATCTATTTAGTGATTTTATACTATAGCCCATTATATACAAGAGGATGGTTTAGATCCATGTATTAGAAGTACACACCCAAAATGTTGGTGTCGTCTTCCTGTGTAACACTTTTTCTTATATAGTAACATTTTTAGTTACCTTTTCGAATGCATATTGTTATGTTTTTAGGTGCTCCTTATTTGATTAAAATTGTTTTAGAGTCTCAGTTACCTGCCATCCTTTGCAAGTTTCAATTAAATAAAAAGCTAAACAATTGATATTGAATGCACATATATTTATAAGTAAGTTGATCAAGGGAGACATCAGCCACTTCTATTGCAGGTAAACCACAGGAGATGCTGTCAGCCTCTTCAATATAATTGGTAGGTATCATAACCTTTGAGTCTTGATGATAATTATTTTAAACCTTTTAAAATAGTCTTAAAGTTGTATAAAATTCGAAAGCTTTGGAATATGTGTATTTGTTAGAAAACCTTTATTATTTTTTTACAATATTGATAATTTCCCACTTTTTTTGTATGATTTTATAATTTTAAAACCTCAAAGTGATCGAGATTTGCCTACCATTTACGTAGTTTAGTCACACAACATATTTTTGTATACCCAGATTATAATGGGGAACAACATACATGCAATTTTTTGGTGGCTCACGGCCATGAGTGTCTTACTTCTTTGGGCAATGTCTTTACTCTCATAAATGGTAGAAAACCTTGGACGTCTCTACCCATTTGCTCCAAGTTTCACACTGTACATGACATGTGGTCATCACTTAACAAAAAATTTAGGAATTGGTTTTGTTATCCAAAGGATATTCTTTACTACAAGGATGAATACTATAAATGTTATTTTGATTTTGATTTGTATTTAGTTAAAATTTGATATGGCTTCATATTTATTAAAATTTGTTTAGTGAATTGGTTTATTTTTGATAAACAACATGATAATAGATTATTTATTTAATTTTTTCTAATATTCTCCAAATTCTATGAGTGCAGAACATCTTGAAACTATTAACTCTATACAAAAGTCTTTTGACTCATAATCAAACATAAATACATTTTCAATGAGATTGAGATATCACATATGTTGCTATATATTGGAGTTGTAAAAGATATTGTTTTATGCTGTAAAAGATATTGTTTTATGTTGTTGCAATCAACATTTTTTTTTTTAAATATCATCATAAATGACAAAATTAATTGTCATGTCCAAGTAAGAAAGGTTGTGGTTATTTATCAACAAGGATTCCATATTTCGTGACAAGGATATGATATTTCACGATTGCTTCATAGGGTGTTCTGCCTAATAACATGTCTCAAGGACAAAAACTCACTCTCGCTTTAAAATTCTTCTTAATCGTGAAAATAACTCAACCTGCAAGACTACGAGACAAACTTGTATTGTTCAACTACTTCGGCACTACGAAAGTAATATGTGCGATGAAGTGTCAATGACTACAATACAAGAGGTGGAGGCGGTTGACCGTACGATGCAAGATATCACTAGGCTGAAGCTCCCATTTGGTGGAAAGATAATGATTTTCGGAAATGATTTTAGACAAGTTTTACGGATTGTGAGAAGTGGAACACGGGCATCGGATTCTACCGTACAAATGTTGCCTCTTTGGTCATTGTTTATAAAGTTGTGGTTAACTATAAATATCCGAGCACTAACCAATCCATGGTTCTCATACTTTCAATTACGAGGTGGTGACGAGTTGAAGAAACGTTGGATGGAATAATACACAATAAATGATGTGTTCGTACATATTTGTAAAGAACTCTAACTCTTAGTTTTATATTCTTATTGATTTCGTATTTTCTATTATGACTCTTATTTATAATTGTTTAGATGTAGTAAATTATTTGTGTAAAAGAAGTAATCGTCTCTACAAACTAAGTTCTGAAAAAACTATTTGTATCCGTCGCATGGCTCTGGTAAACAGTTTGTGTGTGTGTGTGTGTGTGTGTGTGTGTGTGTGTGTATATATATATATAATCGACAAATTCAATTTTTTTAAAACCATATGCTCAAACAAAAAAACAATTATCATTACGAGAATATATTATATATCACACCCATAATTTATGATTTAAGATAACTAGCCAACTTTACAATAATTTAATGACAAGAATGCAAGTGTCTGGGGCTGGTTAATCTTTAGCCCTATGGAATCATAACAAAAACAAATTACGGCAAACTTTTTCTTTTGTTTTCAAATTCTAAGCATTTGGTGTAGCAATGTGTTCTTCTTTAGAATGTCCTCCACCAGGGCTGTGCCCAGGTCCCGTTGGTCTAAAATCATCACTGCTTCCCGAACTTGTCTCTGGAATAGCAGGTGAACTATGCTCCGGGACCAAAGAATGCCCTGCTCCTGGACTATTACCTGGTGTTGTTGGCCTAAATTCGGTGATTGATTCTGGATTTGACAATCCATTTTCTTGACTTTGACCCACTGCATGTGGTAGATTTACCACTTTCTTTTCTCCAACAGGAAGGCTAACACTTTCTTTTTTATAACCAAGTTCTTGTTTCTTCATGGATTTCAGTGGCCTCCCATCTGTCATTAGGATTCCATGACATGAAATTATTAGAATGATAAGCCATGAGTATATATTGAAATAGGTCATGGTGTGTTTGTTAGTGTTTGAGAAGGTAGTGAAAAGTGGGCAATTGAATGGTGGAAGCACAATGGATGCTGAAACTCTATGCCAACTTCTGAATTTATAGTGTTGAGGTGTGCGACTGTATCTTTATATTGTGATACAATTACTATAGTATTTCTTCATATATTGTATCTCTGTCAGTATGGCAATCATTTAATTATGTCGAAAAGTTTCTTATAACATTATAGTAATGTGAGCATGTTATAGTAGTAAAGTTAGATTATCAAATACTGAGAGAAAGAATCTTGTCTTGTAGCCTGTAGTGGTCTTTGACTGCTTACAGACCTTCCAATATGCTCCCATTGTTACTTTAATTAATTAATCATTGCACAGGTGATCATTATATGATTAAATATCTATGAACGTATCACATGAATCTGCAATGATTTGTTTGTTTTTGATATTTAATGAACTTGCTTTAGCACCACCATCAAGAAAAAGATATTCTTCTCTTATTTCCCACTGAGTTATATGTTTATTAGTTTGTATCATATGGAAAGATTTGGACTCTTCAGGTTTATCGAAGGAAATCTGTGTGGTAGATTTCATTTAGTTAGTTTAAGATGCATGTATATTTTCATTGATAAGAGTCTACATGCACATGGGTGCCATTTCTGGCTCAGTATTTGATGATTATTTGTATCGTATTATGATCAAAAGTAAAAGATGCAAATTGCACTTTGAGGGTGAGGATCTTCTAATCATAGCTACCACTAGTTGAATTAAGAAGTGGTTTGTAATGGATGGTATATATACAGAGCCGCAATTGACTATATTTTATTGTGCAAAATAAATGTCAATATGCTTATTAGCTTTCTATATACAAATATGTGGGCCCAATCTATTTGTGGAATTTCAAATCTGTTGTCTTTGAAAATTTTAGAAGTGGACATCGGTGACATATGTAGTATGCTATAATGAGGGATTTTTCTTTCAGGTCCCTATAATATTTTTTTTTACCAAAAATAACCTCTCGTTTTGGTTATGCAGTTGTAATTTGGACTATGGTGATGTAGATTTGCAAAAATGCACCATAGAAACTCGAGTATGCATAAAATGGCCAGAAAATTTTATCAAAAGCGAATGATAAAGACAACACTTCACCACACAAAGCACACTAATTATTGAGCACAAGAATGTACTTAGTTCACACCACGATCCGTGTAATCCTATAAAGCTATCCGGTATGGGAGACAAGTCCATGCATGATGTCCAATGTGGCAGGATAATCCACGCGTAAACATCGCCCCCAAAAGGTGAAAGTGTCTTGTGAAGTGGTTGGCTTTAGGTTTGATCACAAGAAAAAAAAATTATTTAATTACAACATCCGTTTTCAGAAAACGAGTCAAGAATGAAACTAGTTTTAAAAAAAATACGTATACGGAAGTTAAGTACCCTAAAGATCATCCAATTATTTTTTTAATTGAAGTTACACTTATTGTATATCTCATTATACCATTTTACATATCTTTAAGTTAATTAATTCCTCAACTATATATATATATATATATATATATATATATATATATATATATATAATATATATATATATATATATATAGTTCAGTTCAGGTGAGAATTCAAAAAATATTAGTACTGCGATGACAATTCTCTATTACTCATTTCATCAAGGGCAAAAACGTCAAACCTAAATAATTGCCGTGGTGCGTTCGCATATATATAGTTCGGTTCAAGTGAGAATTCAAAAAATATAAGTACTGCGATGACAATTCTCTATTACTCATTTCATCAAGGGCAAAACATCAAACCTAAATAATTGTCGTGGTGCGTTCGCATGCGACCCACAACCTTGGTAATTATTACGGACTTGAAGATTTAATCACGTGCAACGACAATCCTGAAACATCATTTATGTGAGTTATATTATTTATTTTGGTTTTTTTTGTTTTTTTAATTTTTTTATTTTTCGTTAAAAATTTTTTTAAAAAATAATGCAATTAAATAGATATATGCTTGAGTTTAAAGTTTTAATATTTTTGTTTTTTAATTTTTTTCTTTTATACTGTTTATTTTTTTATATTTTTTTTCAATATCTTTACTTCATACGTGAAAATAGTAATGTTTTTGTTTTTATTTTTTGATTTTTTGTTTATTTTTTGATTTTTTTGATTTTTTAAACTAAATGTTCGTTTGAGTTCTAATTTTTAATAATTATGTAATTTTAAATAAGAAGAATATTAAGGATCTTAATATTTTCTGTTCATATATGATTTTTTAATCATATGATTTTGGATCAACAATATATACTCAGTTAAATATAGTTTTTGTTAAAAAAAAATTATGAAATGTTATATATTTCAAATCATTTAATTTTGAATCATAAAAGATATAATTAAGGATTTTAAAATATTTGAGCCTAAACATTATTAGATCATAACAAATTAAGTATCATAAAGAAGTTGAATAATTTTTTTTAATCATAAATATTTTGAATCATCATATTTTGGATAATATTATGATTAATATATTTTTTTAAAATTAATATTACCTCAAATTAAAAATAAATACTTCAAAAACATATGTTTGAAAAATTCTTTTTGTAAAGTCACTAATATATTTTGTAGAAGTATCTCTTAAATTTTCATGAGTTTTGGAGAATTGTTTTCCTAATTTTTTCTTATAAAAAGTTAAAATTAATTATTTTTTAAAATTTTTTATGATTATTCTCATTTTGTAGAGAATTAAATTTTAAGAACATTATATTTTTTCATATTTTCACATAAAACAAGTTATGGACAAAAAACGAAGTGGAAGAAAAAAAAACTCATCAAGTGAAGGTTTCACATGTGGCGGAGAGAAAAAATGAGAGAGAGGTGGGCGGGGCAGAAATCAAAGTGCGAGGTTTTTTTTTTTTTTTTTTTTTTTTTTTTTTTTTTTTCATTTTACATTTACTCGATTAACCTCCAAACAATTAACATTTCTCGGAAAATATCAAAATCTCGTAGATAATTACAAAAACGTCGTATCATCTCATAAGATATTGATGAAAAATAAAATCAAATCTCCATATTTTGTTTTTTCAATTCAGCGACAAAAATTTATCATCATAATCCATATTTCTTTTTGAAACCTTACTCGATCCAACTTTTATATATATATATATATATATATATATATATAATATATATATATATATATATATATATATATATATATATATATATATATATTTTTTTTTTTTAATTTAGCTCAATTTAAAAAAATAAAAAATAAATAAAAGTATAATGAAATTTGAGTGTAACTATTTCGATGTGCTAGTAGGTCGGTAGTGAATATCTACCAAAGATGACATGATAAAATGTCGCAACAATTTTTTAATGGGTTGGCAGTGATAATGCCCTTTATCATAAGGTTCATTACCAATATATATATATATATAATATATATATATATATATATATATATATATATATATATATATATATAGGTTCAAATGAAAATAATTATCTCATTAAGAAGGCCAGAAAAATTTGGGCCAAATATATTATTTTGAAACAAAATGCTACAGGGTAATGGTGTGATGTATAGGGGTAATAATTTTACGCATATATGATTGAAAACATATTCAAATATGAATCCACCACCTCCCACTCTAATACCTCTACCAATACCTTTGCTACGTCACCACCATCACCGCCTCCTCTAGCACCAACGACCGTTGCCGCCGTTGCCTCCACCACCACCTCGACTATTGTCATTGTCACTAACACCTTTGCGACCTACCAACACCAATACCACCACCATCATCAACCCTACCACCACTACCACTAGAACATGCACCCATGCAGTTGTAACCACCACTACCACTACTACTGCCACCACTACCTTGCCATCGTGTCCACCTACGCCGCCAACGGTCATATTCATATATGAATAAGCACTTGTGGACAGACACATACTTATTCATATATGGATATGTATTTATTCATATATGAATATACTTACTCATTTATTAATATCCCTCACCGCCACCAACACCTCTGATGTCCACCGAAACCACCACAACGACTACCACCACGATCACCACCACCTTTGCACCCCTACCACCACATCCACCGCCACGGTCGTCATCGTAACCACCACCATTATAGCCACTGCCATCGCTACTTATGCCATCTCCACCACCAATCATATATATATATATATATATATATATATATATATATATATATATTATATATATATATATATATATATATATTCCTATGTAAATATGCGTATTCACTGTTTGAGATTATTGTAGTGTCTCATTTTCACATCCAAAAATTTTCATTTTTATTAATATAAAACTTCTCAATTGTAAAACCATTTATTTCGAATTACATTTATTGAAAATCAAAGTAGTATAAATAACACATAATCCCCAATGTTGTTGATGCATATGTAAACTCCCGCCTTCGTCTTCCTACGATCACCGATAGAACCTGAAACATAAACAACTGGTAAGCCAAAAGCATAGTCAGTTTTTTTTTCCAAAATACCCCACATAACAAACATACTTGCATGTATATCGGGTCAACAATCATCAGAATGGTTTAACCTGGCATAATTAGTTGTCAGACTGGAATGCCAACATGCAAGGGGACCAATCAGGTATGAAATGTCCAAGGTGTGTTGGCATGCCGCCTTAACCTAATCGCTCATCTTGAGCCTCCATCCATACGACTTGCAGTCAGCCCGCACCACGTATATTAGCCTACAACACACATCGTGACTTCCTCAACCTCAACAACCAAAATATGTCGACATATAAACATACAAGGATCAAGTAGGAACATACTACAGGTAATATAAATCATACAAATCACTACCACCTACTAGTTCTCTCACTACACACTACTCTACTACCAGCTAACCTCCATGGAATGCGTAACCATAAT